GGCAAGCTCATAACCATGGATATTGTTTTGCTGACTATTTCATAATCTGCAGAATGTTCTCCTGAAAAATTGACATGCATATACTGTCATGGGAATACACAACTGTACTGCCAAAACACTAATATTAAGATTCAAACATCATTTGCCCACTTCAGCTACCTTCTCAAATGAGGTAAAATATCTTTCAATTTCTTCCTCTGTAAATTTAGGCAATAAGCATAGACTTTAGTTAAATCAAATCTCTCATTGTATTCAGTAGCATTCTCCAAACTATTATTTCCTCTTTCTTCTTTTACTAAGCTTTTATTTGGCCAAATCATATTGTCCAACTTCCCTGTCTCCTTTGGAGTTCAAGTTCCTTTTAAATCTAAACTCCTTTTTTTTTCCTTTTTCCTCACTTTATTGTCTTGTTTTTCTTTTAACTCATCGTTCTTTATTTTTCTTCCCTCAAAGTTTTTTTTTTAAAATTGCTGACTATATCTTTGCTAATTCCAGCTGCCATGTTAATTTCAGGAGGGGTTTCCCCTTCTTCCAGTTGTGTGTTGGGTAATCACGTGAAGTATCTCATCCTTATAAAATTCTGCTTTCCTTCAACTTATCTGCTAACTCTCTCTGTTTAGCTGGAGTCAAAGATTTCAAATAATCCACAGTTATATCTTACACTTGCAGAAAACTCTTAAGAAACATTGAAGTGTTCTTCAAATTCCTTACAATAAACTTCAGCACAACACAGCCATTATATGTCCTGAACTTCTATGTTCCCATTATTTTAAAAAAAGAGACAGAAAAAGAAAGAGAGAGACAGATCCCACTTAAATCCAATGAACTGGAACTCTGCAACAGCCCCCATTTGTTATGGTCCCAGCTGATATTACTATTAGATAAGTCAGATCACAGGCTGAAATCTTTATTGATCATTTTTATTAATTTAATGTGGTGGTGTTTCACTGAAACAAAAGGACACAAAAAAAACTGGATTTGCCTTTAATAATAAATCAGGAGCTTATTACTCAAAAGAAATTTTTAAAAAACCAAGCTATATACATATACCATACTCCGAAAGATTTCAAGATATACAGCAAAACATAATCTCACCTGTTCCCAACATCTGTTTATAGTACGTATACCAGAGAGGGGGAGGGAAGAGATCTTTTCTATCACATTGATAGGTTGGACAGAACTGTTCTTTTCTTGCAATTCCTAGTCCTGAGAACTTAACCTCTTCTTTGATTATTCACACAACTGAGCTGAAACTTACTTAGCTTCAAATAGTCCCTTCAGGATCTCTTAACCAAACACTTCAGGTTTGGGATTTTCCAATTAAAATGCTTACATTGAGGTAATCTATTTTCTAACTATTCTGAATTAACACTTTTCTTCAAGAGAAACTGTTCTTAGATCTGATCTCAGCCAGGTCTTCTGCAAACAGCCCAAACGTTTTGCCAATAACTGTCTTTCTCCAAGCCAAAATCAATCCTTGATTATTCTAAACTAAAAGCAGGCTAATGTATTTTAACATTTGCCATCTCTAATCATAAAACTGTCATAATATGGACAAATCCAATTATCCCATCAGGAGGGGTGTCAGTCGGTTGCACTTGAGCACATACTGGTTTAGAATCATGGTTCCAGAAGGACTGACAACTTCACCATTAAACACTTTCCTACACATTAGCCAAAAACTTGTAAATCGCTAGTTCAAACATGATATTAATATAAATAAATCATACACCTATCTCTTTAAGTTGATGCTGTGCCCAACTTTAGTTTTCCACAAATGGTGGGTCCTCCTTTTAGAATATTTTTCATTATAGTAGAAATATACCAATGAATTCTAAAATATCAGCTTAAATTTTTGCCACAGCATATCTGCTGATTTATCACCCAATCTAATGTTCCATCCATGTCTGGTAGCTCACTATTCATGCCCACAATTGCTTTTGAAAAGGTGAGCACTCATTAAAGTAATATGAGCTGGAGTTTGCTTGCCTGACAACTCATTGCAAGCAGAAGGAGCAAGTGAGCATTTGGGTCGAGTTGGAGCTGAAGTTGAAAATACATGACACAAATAGAGTGCCTTTACTACATTTGGTTTATCATAAGATTGCAAGAAAAACAGAAGTAATTATTTCTTTAAACTCTAAACAAGATATCAACAGCATAAGAAAATATATAGGATCCCAGTTATGCAGTTCTTTACTTTTAAGATCTTGCTAATCCTACTTGTTACGTAAATTATTTTTATTTTGGTTAGGCCTTTACAAAACTTGGCAAATATGTGCAATTGAGAAATGTGAAAAGATGACCTATATAGTGTAAAAATGGTAGAGTGTACAGTAGGAACATATAAACAACTAGGATTGCAAAGAAAACTCAACGATGGTGAAGTTTTCTTACTCCCAAGTGCAATTCAAACTGTGGGAAGAACTGTTGGGACGAGGAAGGAGTCATTCCAAAGCACTATTGGAAATGTTTGAGATGTAGGCTTAGGACTACACCCTCCAACATGCACAAGCACAAAGAGACAGGTACTGAACATGCAAAAGATGGTTTAAAGTATTTTTATAACAATAAAGTCAACCATAAGAGTGGGATTTTTGGTGCGACAGGTTGCCGTATGATACTGTGAGACATGAAAACCTGACCGCAGGACTAGGGTGTTGAGGATTGCCAAAAAAACCGGTGACAGTCAGAAGTAGAAAAAGGTCAGCAGTCTACTCAATGAAGCAGTGCACTTGGGAAGAAAAGCTCATGAGCACCATTAATTTTGTAGAGATGTGATCATGTTGGTAATTAAATGTTGCAGTGCTGCCTTGTAAATACCGTGGGACAAAGTCTCAAGAAAAGAGATGGAACCACTGGTGAAGTCAGTTGCTATATCCTCAAAAGAGAGCAGCTGCAATCCTTCAGAGACAAAAATGATTTAAGAAACTTTAGTGACTCAGTAATGTCTGACATTAGAGTCTGCTACTGAGAAATTTAGGTGGCATGTCTTCATGGTGTCTGCTATTTATGTGCATTTTGCAGTATGTTCAACCACAATTTGCCTGTGAACTTATGTTTACCTCATCTTAATTATGAATTAGAGAACTGTTTGCTTTGTTGACATTTCAATTTTTTTTTGTTTTCTCAAAGCCATGAAATCTTTTGATTGACTTAGTAAGGAACAGATTTCAGATTTTGTTTATTTCATGAAAAGTTACTGGTCCCTAACTGGAAAGGGAGTTGCATAAATTGTTGAAGAGAAGGAAATTGCAGGGCTATGAAAAAAATAACAGGGGAGGGAGGGAAAAATTGGATCTTTCCAAGAATGTTGGCATAAAGAATAAATCAAAAAACCACCTTTGAATTGCAAATTTAAAACCTCGTGATAAACTGCAATTGTCACAAAGTAGGTTTGTAGCTTTGGAACAAGTTAATTCTGTAGGTTTCTCAGAATTTGGTTATGGAGACCTAAATCTTCAACTCTCAAGGATCTACCCTGGGCTATTTCCTATTACCCTTACCATTTATAATGTACATAGTGTCCTTTAATGACATTGTCCAAAGCTGTAGTGTCACATTTCACATGCATACTAACACCATATTCTGGAGCACCACCAACTCTATTGAATCTCTGACTGCCTGTGTTGTCACAATCCTTGTCCAACATCATGGGTAGATGAAATAGGATAATAAAGGTTGTTAATTATGTATTTGACCGTGTAGTGAAGTTCCAGGTCCACTTTAAAATCAGTTTGCTCTGATTCTCCATCTCTCCACAAAAAAGAGTAACATTTTTCCTTATGTCTACATTGCATGATTGAACACATCTCTCAATTCCCCTATAAACACTTATCTCTGGAAGGCAGCAACCCCAATTTCTCCAACCTAGCAGCCACTATTCTATCGAGGAGCTGAACAGCCTATTCCTGTTCCTATTTCTCATGGTCTTCTCCCTGCAGTTGAAGCCTCATCTTTGGAGGCATTCTCAGAATTCCTTTCTGCACCCCTTGCATTTCTTCTGAAGTGCACTGTCCTGAATTGAACACAATATTTCATTTGAAGCCACTCCAATGTTTTGTAATCGTCAAGGGAGCACTTCAGGAGGGCAACCTTTGTCTGTGAAGTGCCACAGGGATCAGGCTAGGGCCACAATTATTTATATATTAATGACGTGGATGAGATAAGTGAATATACTACAACAAAGTTTGCAGATGGCACAAAAATAGGCGAGAAGGCAAGTGGTGAGGATGACACAGTCAGTGGAGGGATATAGATAGACATGCAAGTGGCAAAAACTTTGCAGATGGAATACAATGTATGAAATTGTAAGGTGATGCACCTTGGTGGGATAAATAGAATATTATTTAAATGGAAATAAAAGTACAGAAAGCACAAAGGAATTTGGGAGACCTTGTGCATAAAATCACAAAAAGCTAGCATGCAAGTTCAGCAAATAGTAGGGAAGGCAAACCAAATGGAGTAAAAAAAAAAGTAGGTCTTGGTAAAATTGTACAAGAAACTAGGCAGACCACATCTGGAATATTGTGAACAGTTTTAGTTCCTATTGGAGGAAAATATGGTGGCATTGGAGTTAACTAAATTAATTTATATTAAATACAAAGTGATGCATTTTGGTAAAAACAATGAGGACAATGAAATTTAAATTCAATTCAATTTCATTTGCAATGGGCTACCAATTCCTTTCATCTCTTCTTGAAGTTGATCATTACTGTCATCTGCAAATTTTTAATTGGTGTCCTATGAAGAAATGCAATAGTTCTAGCACCAACCCCTGGGAACATAATTGTTTTTCAGATTAGTGGAAGGTATACAATTATTTACCAGTTTTTTTCCTATCAGTCAGCTTGTTTCCATGCTATCACTGTCTCTTTTATTCCATAGGCTTTACTTGTTGAACAGCCTTCTATGCAGCATGTTATCAAACTTTTTTTTTTCCTGGATCTATGGTGACAGTCAATCTGTTTATAAGAAGAGCTCAGCACACATTGTAAACTATGGACCTGTTAATGTTCACGTAAATCCTACTTTGGACTCTTCAGTCATGCGAGCAGCTACGATGACAATAACGTTTCCTTCTTGGACACAGTCAAACAACAGGAATCCACCACTTGTGTTTTTACAGCTAAACATACACTAAGGATTTTGATCACACTGGGACAACTGGTGCATGCTGCCATTTGTCCTCTAGGCAAGTTTTGCACAATCCCGAAGGGGAGGAGGATCCAAGATGTCTAGGTAACTCAACAGCTGCAGTAGATGGTTGTAGAGCAGGTTTTACTCTACTATCACCTTTGGTTGCAGTTCACACTGTACGGTCATTATGCTATACATGCTGAAAATACCACGTGTCATTGTCTACACTGGCACTGTTGCTCAGCCAAGCTGCTGACATTTTAAAGTTGCATTGTTTAATGCAGACTCATTTTTAGTTTCATTTCCTGACCTTGGGAAAACAAGGACCTCATTTCTGTGTTTAATATCAGCAGTTTCAATGGTAAATTGCCACATAAGTTGGCTTCAAAGTTGCAAGATATTCATTAGGTTTCTGACCCAGTTTTAAAATCGGCATTATAAAGACCACTAGATACAGAGTTACACATGAATTAGAAACTTAACTTAGGAGACATTTCAATGCATCTATTCCAATCGTTTCATATTGAAAGTGGCTATGCGAGGGTGAAAATTGATGACCAAGAATGACAAAAATGCAAAAGTTCTTTTTTTAATTTTGTACTTGAGAAAAATTAAACCAATGAATGAATATAAAAAGGCCATAAAATTCCAAACCCTAATACAGTACTTCATAAAAAGGTTCTGTCCTGGGGAGAAAACGTAATTTTATAAAACAAATCACTGCACAAATACAGAAAAAAAACCCTGTTTTTAAAAAAAGGTATTACTATGTACAAATAATTACATCACTAAACTTACAAAAAAATCTGTTGAAACAACACAGAAGCATATGGACCACAAGCACCTTTTTTAAACTGAATATACACTAACTGTGAACATATTAGGACAAACCATATCTAATATACAACAGCAAACCAATCAACAAATAAAAACAAGTGACAGCTTAACTAGCTTAAGCGCCAAGTGATGGAGGTGCATGTAAATAGGCATACAAATAGACCAGACCGTAGATGCTCAGTAATATGCACCTTTTATAAAATGCAAAAAACTTGCCTATTTAATTAAGCAATAATGGTAGTAGAGAACAAACTCTAGTTAGTTTTGAGTATCATCACAGCTCAAATACATTTAAAGGAAACTTTTACTATTGCCAAAGGCTACCATTATTTAGATCCTTTATGGATATTCTGTATTTAAATATATCAAAATAAAACACAAACATTATCAGACCAACATAATGTGTTAGTTAGATCTTATTTTGTTAAAAACTTAACCTTTAAATATGGGTATTTACCAAGTACAATCATGGTTCTATTATAAGATAAGAATTTAATTGAGCATTTTAGGGAGGATACATCAGAGTTTAGCCATTAAGAATGCAATAATACATCAAGACCATTAAGCCATGTAAACATGAAAGAAACTGCACTAAAAAAAGGAAGTCAATATCTAGGCTGTACATAAAAATTAGCCAAGAATACATTGCAAATAGTTCAATTTGAAAACCCAATTTACAGGAATGGAGTTCAATCAATCAATTGTATAACTGAACAGGCTGTCAACGTTCATGGTTTAATCGTTAGCGATTAAGGACAATTTGAAAACATGTTATTTATAAATCAGAACACAATTAAAGTCCAACTAAATATGCTTTCAGTTCTCTCTGCCCCTGCCACCCCCATCCCCATTATTTTTATCTACTGCTAACAGATGCCCTAACATGAATTATGGTCTATACAATAGGACTCATGTTCTAGCTGGTAATTACCTTGCTGACGACCTTCTTTCACTACTCCATCTTTTACAAAAAACTCATCTGTGTATTCCAAAATTAAACAGTGCACAGTATAAGATTTGATTATGTATCAGTTGGATACAATTGATAAGATATGCAGGCTATAGCTTCTTACCCAAGACTATGAACCCCATCCTCTATTAGGCAGAGTTGCTGGAAGGAGGACAAAGTCAACTGTGTTTGAAAAATAAAAAAGTTGACATATCATGGATATTTAATAGATAAAGATTTTGTCCATTTCTGTTCTGATCTCAAGGTTTAAATGAAGAGCTCAAAATAAAATCACTCATTTTTCAGACTAGATGATCACAGGCATTAAATTGGAAAGAAAAACATAATTTGAAAAATGTTGAGACACAAAAGAAAGTGAGTTTAAAAAAAGTATTGCAAAAAAAACCTGAAAGAGGTATTGCCATTTAGTTCTTTTTGCATCAGGCATTATTTAAGACCAGCAACTGCCTGTTGCTGTTGCAAAGATCTCCACTGCTCTAAATCAATGGCATCTCATAAATCAGCCTAGAGAAAATGAACCAACCTAGCAAAGGCAGTAAAAGTCAGTGCTTTTGTCTGAAAATAGAATACTCACATAAAAATAAAACAAACATACAAGCAATATTCCTGATAAGTATCAGGAATGTCAAATGGCAATGAAACTTAACTTTGCAACATCTCTTGGTCAGAAATAAAACACATCAGGCTACAAAGTGCACATTGGATTCAGCAAGTTACAACTCAAACTCAGCAAATTTAGAAGCCAATTTAAACATGGTCACACAAAGTCAGTAAAGAGAGAACTGAACATTTCCTAAAAGAAACTAGCATCAAATTTTATACCTCAAAAGTAAGAATACAAATTTTGCAGGGCTCGTGAAAGGAAAATCCGTAGCTTTTCCAAACTCACTTTTATAGAGCACTATTAGATACAACTTTTAGTAATGGAGGAAAAAAACATCCTTGCAAAGCTACTGAAACTCTACAAGAAGCTTGAGATTTACATAATTCGGAAATCACAGATTAATTTTAGATTTAAATTGACAGAAAACCACTACATAATATAACAGTTCTGCAGCAGACAGGACAGGTTACAGATGTGAACTTTTTTAAAAAAAAAAGTAATGGACAGGAATGCTACTGACCTAAATGAACATTAATATTAGCTTGAATGGAGCTGTTCAATCTGCAATATGTATTCATTGGTTTTCTGTAAACAATGGTAAGCATAATTTTCTTGCCCTCAAGTCTGTATTCAGGAATGATAAGCATTTGAGACAAAACACAATAAGCAATCTTCATTTAAAAACAACTTTCAACAATATTTAGAAGCAATATTTATGTATCATTGTTGAGCAAAGATAAATCAATGTCATGCTTGAACAGTACCTAAACAACAAGCTAACCATTAATTTCAAAAACTTCAAATGTGGTCTACAGATCAGATGACACACAGCTGTTATCATTTCCTCCATTCCTGTACATTCATTAGCTACCCAGTGGACAGTACATACAGTAGCAGATACCAATACCATTCTTAAAAAATAGTTGTGTTTAAAAATTTTAGGATTGACAGGTGAGGGTTGAAACAAACAGCAGTGCATTCTTTACAGTGCAGAAAAGTAGATTTTAAAACAATGCAACAGTCCCAAGATTCCTTTTAATCATAGCTGTAGATAAGTTCAATACCCAAATTATCTATGATAAAATACTCAAGAAAAATAAAGTTTTGTGAAAATGACTTTAGGGGATTAAAATATTAGTAATGTGGAGTAATTATGGCATAGTCCAAGTGGTTTGATGATTAGTGATTATGGGTTTAAACAGCAAATTGAGTCAAAAATAGATAAAATGAGATGAAGAGCAGCTACATTCCTCATCAACAACTATTGAAACTCAGACGAGCAAAATAATGCTCATCCAAAAGAGCAAAAGCTGTGCCAGAAGCAACTTTGCATCAAGCATGACCAAATTTCTATTTATTTTCTTACCCTGGTGTAAAAATACTTCAAAATCAATTTTTCCAGAGGAAGAGACAGCCACATCAACCAAATTTAAAGTAAAATATAAAATACAAGGCAGACATAAATTATTATGTAAACTTAGTTGATCAACATTACAGGATTATATATTAATCTCATCCTGTAACAACGTATTGGCAGCACAATCTATCGTGTATAGTTATCCAGTACTGACAAACTCCCTCTTGCTTTTATAGAAGGATATACATTTCTGAAAACCATTGAGTAACTAGGCAGTATACCAAGTGGTTTTAAATGAACATGACAACATTTTTGGCTTCAAGTAGGATTCAAGTTAAACCCTGTATTTAAGTTCTTCTTGGCCTCTAGTTCCCAGCCATAAGAAAATTAGAACAAAAGGCACACCTACCCCCACCCAAAAGCAAAATTATCTCACCATTTGCTCTTCTACTCTGATTGTCTAAGAGTATAGGTGTCTCCTTGCATTTATGCCAATTGTGGACCACCTATACCTTCACTTCCATTAGATTCATCCCTTTATGCAAGTTTGGGAGAACAGCGGTCAAATATTTGTACCAAGATCACCCAGTTTTAGATTGTGCTTCACCTTCCTTAATTCAGTCATATTGAATCCCAAAAGCACAGATGGTTTGTACTTCATTGCTTTCAAGCAGAGCCTTTGCTTATTGCCAAAGACGAAGGCAACATCATTTTTCCAAAGCCACAAGATTGAAGATAGCATCTCAATTTCTTTATTACTGGGGTATGGTTGCTTATGAAAGTAGTCAAGTAGAAATAGCTTCCTTTCTTCATACGAGCAATTCTCAAAGCCTTTTGGAACTAGCGCCAAGACTGTAGATGGGTCTGGTAATGGTGGAGAATGTGAAGTGTTTGCAGAGTCAGTTAATGCCACAGGGGAGACATAAAAATTATTTGCTATCACATCAGCCTTTATTCGTTTAGGAGGAGGCAGCAATACCAAATCTCTCTTATCCCCATTGGTAAGTTCATTGTTGTACTTCTTGGCAGTTTCTGGAAATTCACGCTTTGATTGAACACTTTTTGACAAAATATTACTTTGCTGTTTATTAAGGCCTCTACAACGCAACAGATGAAGAGATATTGTTGAAGTTGTCATGCTATCTGTGTATACACCAAGACAGTGAATGCACTTGAAAGCCGGTATTCTCAGCAGTGGATGTACCATTGATGCTACATGATGATCTTCTTGCAAATGGTTTTCATAGGTTGTGCTCGAGAAGTGTTTTGAACAAAATGGACATTTTGAACTTTGGGGCACTTCTATTACAGTTTCTTCCATATTAATTTCTTCTTTTTGCCTGCACACCTCAATTACTAAAGGTGCATGAGGAGTAGACATTTTGTTTGGAATAAGTGTTAAGTGAATATCATTAGGACCCATTTTAGCTTCTGGCAATTTAACTGTTAAATTAAAACTACCACCATTTATTTCACAAACAGTTGATACTCCATCTTTAACATTTTCAACAGCCTCAAATCTCAATCCTGCATGCAAGGTCTTCACATGTTCAGAAAGTTTTGGGAGCTCATGGAATGTCAGAGAGCAGAACAAACAAGTCAGGCCATGCATTAGCAAATGGGACATTAATACGTTTTTATCCATATAACTTCGACAGAAAAGACACTTACTTGTTTGAGCACGCACTCTCTGCAAGTAAGTAGCACAGGCTACAATCTTCTCCGGTTTATCAGAATATTCCTCAATTTTATGTGCTGTCGCAACATGATTATCATAAGCACTTAGTGGCAGCAATGCACTGCACACTGAGCAACTCTTCCACTGTTGAGCCTTGATATTTTGTGAAGAATAATCTACAGCAGCTGCAGATTCTACTGCACTCTGCTTCTGTTCCCCTACTGCAGACATTACTGTAATTTCAGTGGGCAATTCTTTTGTTTGTTGTTGAGAAACAGAAGTAAATGTATTTGTTTGGGAAATATTAAGTGGCACTTGCGTCGTAGAAATTACCGCAGGTTTGTTACTCAATATACTACCTGGAGTAACAGGCAAAGAAAACTGAACTGGGGTTAGAGTGTATGCAGGTACACCATTGATATGTTTGTTGCTTTGAATTAAATGTTTCACTGTCTGTGAATTAGCTGGCAAGGCATTTCTAGGAATATTAGCTCCTACTGTATGATCCATGGTCAATCCTTGCGGCATCAAAAACGCCTGAGGAAGGACCGGGCTTACTGCTTGGATCGTAAGGTTATTCTGAGTGACCTGAAAAGTAGCAGATACAAGGTTAACATGTGCTGGTTTTGGAAAATCTCCAGGACCAGCTGTGGATACAGTTACTGGAATAACATTGTTTTGCAAAGGAAAAGAACTCATGTTTGGTCTTAATGATCCCAAAGCTACTGGTTTAATATTTTGAGGAAGTGTCAATATATTAACGGCCTGTTGCACAGCTGCTGTTACAGGTGATCTCACACAGGAAGTTGATGGTACAGGTAGGGTAATATTAGCTGTTGATTTCACACTTGAAAATACTGGTCCAACTGGTCTGATACTTTGTGCTGGTGAAGCCGACTTAACACAGGAAAGCATGTGTCCTGTTAATTTGGTATTAAGTGATGGTACTGCTGATCCCACACTCGGGAGTACTGGCAGAGAAATGTTGCTCACCTGAGCCTTAGGAGCAATGTGTAGCCTAGGGCTTAGTTCTGCTATGTGTCCAATTGTAGCTTTTACAGGACCTTCCACTTCTTTATGTCTATCCAGAATGTGATATAGAAAGGCATCATAGGTGACCATTTTCATTTGGCATCCTTTACAAAAATACTTATAAACAGAAAGTAATACCGGTTCCTCCACCTGGCCAATGTAATTATTGACTAAGTTGCCAAAGTGTGATAGAAAAACATGTTTCTTCATGGCATACAATGACACCTCTTTGTATGAGCATACCCTGCAAAAATAAACAGGCTGGACTAGGTTTGACATTTTGCCCTGAAACATTTTGGTTTGGATCTGTCTTATTTGATCTGTATTCACATGGTTAGCAGTGTTGTGCACTTTCCGAGAATCAGAATGAAATATTTTAACATGCTTTTTCATACTCTTGGGATGAGAGATAAATGTGCAATTAGGACAACTAGCCATCAGTTCTACATCCATCTCATCCTCATGGGAACATCGCATATGACTTTTGTAAGCAGAAATAAATTTTGTTGAAAAATTGCAAAGGCTGCAGCAATATGGTTTTGTTCGGTAAGCCTGCAAACAAGAATAAACACATTTTAAAACTGAATAGAAATTAGAGAGATTTATACAAGACCTCTCACAACCTTAGGACAGTTCAAAGCATTTTACAGCCAATAAAGTACTTCAGACGTGTAGTTATGTTTTATGCAGGAAACTCAAATCAATTTTTACAAAAAAAGGTTCCAAAAGCACTAATTTGATTTTAAAAAATTCAATGGGTTAGTAAAAGAATAAATGTTGATCAAGGTATCTAGGAAATCAGGCAAATTGTTAGCGTTAATACTTCGTAGACAGGACATGCTACCATGAAATCTCTTTGTACTTCTCACTCCAAATAATAAGTCCAATGCAACATTCTTGATGTGACTTTCTACTACAAGTAGACTTTATTCCCAACAAGATTTTGAAAAGTTGGTTTCACAGATGTCTAAGTTGCGCATATTAAATAACATTAACAAAGTCCTTATTATTTTTAAAATCAACCTGTTCTGACACGTTATGATAATCTGTGCCAGGTGGGATTTGAATCCAGACCTTCTGGCCCAGCGACAGGGATACTATGACACAAGACCACTGATTGTAGATTTTTTTAAAAAAAAAATCTACATGTTCTGAGACAGATTGCATACCTGTTTTTCAAGCATTGTTACTTTGACAGGATAGAGTCATACAGAATCGAAACAGACCTTTCAGTCCAACTTGTCCATGCCAACCATGTTCCCAAACCAAACCAGTCCCACTTGCCTGCGTTTGGCCCATAGTCCTCCAAATCTTTCCTATTCATCTATTTACCCAAATGGCTTTTAAATGTTGTAACTGCACCTGCATCAACCACTTCCTCCAGCAGTTCATTCCACATACAAAACACCCTCTGTGTAAAAAAAGTTGCCCCACATGTTCTTTTTAAATCGTTCTCCTCTTCACCTTAAAAATATGTCCCATAGTTTTGAACTGCCCCAACCGAAGGAAAAGACCCTTGCTATTCACCTTATCTATGCCCTTCATAATTTCATAAACCTCTAGAAGGTCACCTTTCAACCTCCTATGCTACAGTGAAAGAAGTCCCAGCTTATTTTTTATAACTCAAACCTTCCTTTCCCAGCAACATACTGGTAAATCTTTTCTGAACCATCTGATTTAATTATATCCTTCCTATAGCAGGGTGACTAGAATTGTACACAGTACTCCAGAAGAGGCCTCGCCAATGTCCTGTACAATCTCAACATGACATCCTAACTTAAAGATCTGAGTAATGATGGCAAGCGTGCTAAATGCCTTCTTAACCACTCTGTCTATGTGTGATGCAAATTTCAAATAAGTATGTACTTGAACCCAATTAAGAGGATAAACTTTGATAATGGATTCAAGGCTTACTGAACATACCCCAAACTCAACACAGGTTGCAACTTTTATCCTTCTTAGAGTCACAAAAGTTGCATTAACAAATGCAAGTACTCACTTTAAGTGTATGCATTAAATCTCAAGCAAACACTTGGGATTACCTTTGACCTTTTGATTGGCTGCCATACTGAAACATCATTCCATGTTGTGTTTTTTATGTAGTATTCTCCTGGATTATAACTTCTAAATTCCTGGAAATATATAAACATTTTCACTTGTAAATGCCAGTTTGCTACATAAGAGTGTTCTACTTTGATGTTTCCAAACATATGCAAGAGGGATATTTTTCAATACACAGTGTACATTAAGAGGAAGACCAGTAAATTGATAACTCACAGCAAGCAAACAAACACAAAAATGTTAAGAAATAATGCATATATCCAAACAGACTTTCTGGCATGACATTCAGTGATATTCTGGACCAGACGCAGCATAGCACATGCCTGGAGACATCAGGAAATGAATACATTCAGCAGAAAAGAAAGAAACAAAAACGTACCTTACTTCAGGTTGTTTGTTAACCTGCTCGATGTTTTTACTTTGCTTATAATATTAGTAATTACTGCGTGAAGTCAATATTAGCTTTTGAGTCAATTGCTCACACATCAAGAAGGAAGCTTAGACATTTACACCTAAACCGTAGCAGTACAACGAGGACTACACAAAAATATAAACTTTACAGCGGTCACTTTTCTGACATTCAGACCAGACAGTATTACAGCAAGGTCTAACAAGACCTGATAAACGGCTACTAATTTAATGCACTTTAATTAAGTTCTACAAAACTTATAATGCGATGTCTTTTTCAGCAATATTGTTCTATCACCACCCTTCCCCAACCGTGGTATAGACTGGGTGATTTATACATATTTTTCATATTAATTACTTTAAATTTTTGAATTTTGAGTTGGTAACATATGGGTCGTTTTACATGTCTAAAGAATTTATATCTTAACTTAGTTATTTCTGTAACCAGGATGATTTCTTTTAAAATAGCTTGAGGGAGTAGCTTGTGGAACTGACGCGATTTTTATTTACCTCAGGAGGGTTTACACAAACGAGGTAAACAGTTGTACATTAAGGTTCTGGACTTTTATTTTAAACTTCAGGAAAATACCCATAGCTTGAAAAAAGGATTTTTCTCCCCAGTGTGGGACAGTTTTATGGAAATCCTTGGATAGCAATGGACATATAAAGCAGTACTCCTGAGAAGGGGAGAAGATGGCAAAGCTACATTACCTGGAGGTAAGGAGTTTAATGATAGTCCCAGACATAGAGGTTATTTGAAACTGAGAACATTTAAACTTGGGTACATGAAAGGTCCAGGAAAAGGATCAGATTTTCCAGACTGGGATCTGAAGTCAGTTAACTTCAGCCTGTTGGTGGCGGTAGAAAAACATTTTTCTCTCGTGTGAATACTGTACAAGGGGTATTTTTAGGTACTATCAAGAGTGTGTTAATGTGATTATACTTTCATCACATGCTTCAAAGTATTTAAAGGTGTACAAAGTGTAAACAGGTTGGTCTATTCTATCTTCTTTTTTTCCCCCACTTAATGAACTAATTTTATTGTTAAAACCAAATCTGCAATGTTGTGTGCTTATGTTTCAGTGAGACCACATCAGTAAAACCAAAACAAAAACGTGACCCATCAAGCCAGATTTCAACCTGGAATCTGACTTGCCCAGTAATAACATCAGCGAATATCACAACGAATCAATGTTTTGAGGAAGTAGACCATTCAGCCCTTTGAGCATGCTCTATCATTTGATAACATCATGGAGCTGAGCTAATCAAAGCTCTTGACTTTTTCTCCCTCTTCTGTTCCCTATATATCCTTTGACTCTCGTCAATCAATAATCTATCCAACTCGGCATTAAAAGCAATTAATTGGAACAAGGGGCAAACATCCTTTTAGCATCTATCCTGTCAGATGCCTTGAGAATCTCGGATGTTTCAATAAGATCACCTCTAATTTTTCTAAACTTCGATGGATACAGGCCCAACCAGTCCAACTTTCCTGGGAAGATAATGCCTTAAACCAAAGAATCAATTTAGTGAACCTTCTCTGACTTGTCTGTTTAATAATTTGCTTATGGGATTGTGGAACAGGCCAGCATTGATTGCCCGTCTGTAACTGCCCAAGGCAGTGATGGTGAACTGCAAAGAACTGCAGAAAACCTTGGTATGTACACATACCCAGAGTACTAGTAGGGAGTCAGTTTCAAGAATTTGAACCAACAAAGAAGCAGCAATACAAACATACATACACAGTAAAAGCGCAAGGAGGCCATTTTATCTCTTGAGCCTGCTCTGCCATTCAGAAAAATCATGGTTATTGGTTTGTGTTTCAAGTGTCATTCTCATCCACCCTAATAATCTTTGATTCCCTTCCCAACAGTAATCTTTCCATAAAAACTGAAAGAACTGCAGATGCTGTAAATCAGGAACAAAAACAGAAGTCGCTGGAAAAGCTTAGCAGGTCTGGCAGCATCTGTGAAGAAAAAAATCAGAGTTAACATTTCGGGTCCGGTGACCCTTTGAATGCATTTACATCCTTTCTGAAATATGGAGACCAAAACTTCACACTGTATTTAAGATACAGTCTTACCAATGCCCTGTGAAATGAATAACATCTTCACTTTTATGCTTAATTTGTTTTGTATTAAAAGGACAGCATCCACTTGTCTTAATTATTTGCTGTACATGCATACCAACTGTGACTACTGCACTAGAACATCCAGATCCCTTTGCACCTCAATTCTGTAGCTGCTACCTTTTTAAGTCTTCACATTTTACCATATAATACTCCCTCTGCTAGACTGTTCCCCACTCATAGATCATAGAATCCCTACAGTGTGGAAACAGACCCTTTGGCCCAACAAGTCCACACCGACCCTTGGAGCATCCCACCCAGACCCATCCCCCTTATAACCCGCCTAAGCTACACATTCCTGAACACTCGTTTAATCTACACTCATCTATGTTACGTCCTCTACACAGCATACTCTCCTACCTGTCTTTTCGTGTGAAAATTTAGCTACCATACCTTCACTCCATTCATTCAACTCATTGATACAAGTTGTAAAAGTTGATAACCTAGCACAGACACCTGTGGGACTCTACTCATCACATCCTGCCAAACATTTTTTTTTTTCCCATGCTACAATGTTACTTTGTACATTATTAGCTCTTAATTTGCATGGTAACTCATGTGGCACCTTCTCAAATGCCTTCCAGAAATTCAAATATAGTATGCCAACAGTAGCGTTCTCAAAACGTTTCACCTCAGGGGAGGATGAATTTCAAGAAAAAAATCCAAAAGCAGTAATTTTAGTAAATGAATAATTAACAAAATTTGTTAGTTAGTAAGTGTCAGCAGAAGTAAACCCCTAAAAACTTTTTTTTTGTTAGGAAGCAGAACTTGAGACAGACTAGGACCCATATCCTGATCACCACGGTAGGAGTCAGGACTGGGGTCAAGGTAAACATTTGAATTTAACTAACATTGACCTTCTACGTCAAGTGACGCACACTGTGACTGGCCAGAGTCAAGGAACAAGGGAGAAGATTTCTGGAAGCAGGTCACCTGACGCAATCCTTATGTCCTTGATCACTGTGTGGCTAGGTTTTTGAGGAGGAAGCACGTTTCTGTCTGGCGCAAACTTGCTCTCCCATTCACTCAACCTCCATCTCACTCCCTCATCCTCACATAGAATTATTCGCACACAGACACACATGCAAAGAGAAACTGTCACTCATGCACACAGACAGATACTCAAGAGCTTTGTTGCCTTGCATTCTTGGTGTTCCCCACATTCGCACGTGCTGCTCTCCGCCACACTATACTGCTCTGGAAACTAAAACCTGGTCAGTGCTGCTTGCCGGGTCCAATTACAGGCTGCTTTTTCCTAGGTGTTTTCTGCTGATGGCTTACAAGTGATGACTTATAGCACATACAGGTGAGAAACAGTCTATGACTGGACAAACAACTCTACAAGGCCTGGCGGACCACAGATACATCCTTTGTGGACCAAAACATGGCTGTTGGACAAGCCTGGTCCATAGGCGCAGCATACTACTCCTTTCAAGGACTCCATCAAATCAGTTAAATAAGATTTCCTTGCCAATAAACCATGCTGATTCTTCCCGATTATCTTGAGGTTTTCTAACGAGATTACAGCCGCACACAATGATTGCTTTGAACTTCTCCCCTGTGACACACCAAGCTAACTCGTCTGTAGTTTCCTGTTTTCTGCTCTCTTCCTTCTTAAGGGCAGGAACTTTCTAAAGCTCTATCCAGGTTGTTAAGTAAAATTTACACCCAGAGCTCTTATGTAGTAACTTTGATGTGGCACCTTGTTACATAGTTTATAGCAATCCAACTCCATCATGCCTACAGGTTTTGCTTTATCTATGTTGATTATTACTTTCTCAAACAACTTAAATAACACACAATTTCACCTTCATAAAACCATGTTGACTCTGCCTGATTACATTAAGGTGTTTTAGATGCACTACTTTAACCTCCTTAATAGGCTCTGGCATCTTTTCTATGACAGATGTTAGGCTAACTGGCCTGCAGATCTTATTGTCTCGCTCCTTTCTTGAACAGTGGAGTCACGTGTTATTTTCCAATCTGATGCAACTTGCCAAAATTTAGGGAATATTGGAAGATTACACTCAATTAAAATCTACTATCTTAATAACCACATCTTTTAAGACCCTAGAATGAAGTCTGCTTTTCCCCCATGACTAACTGCTTTAGATTCCTCTTTTTGTTTCACCTTTGAATCACTATTATTTCTAGGATGTATTTGGTATGTTTTCACCATTTCTTTCTTCCAAAGTTTTACTTTCTCCCTTTAGTTACTCTTTCTTTTTAATTACCTACAGAAAATCTTATTGTTTTTACATTTTTAGTTAGCTTTCTCTCACACTCATTTTTCCTTCAAGTCATTCTTTGATTTCCTTTTCACATTCCATCTGATCTTCTGACGTGCCATATCTATCACCGAAATGTATATTTTCCTTTCAATTTGATACATCTTTAACTTCCTTAGTTAATCAATGACTTCATTCTTCTTTTAGAGTGTAGTGATTGTAATGAGGTCAGCCAGGTGGACCTCATAGAATAGGAGTTCCCTGACTGGGGCTATTAATCTGGTCCAACCAAGGCTGACAGATAAGAACAGGAGTATCAGACATCCTGTTCACAGAGCTGGTTCTGAGGGAGCTGGATCAGTGTTAAGGACTCCACATATAAATAAAAGGATGACTTGGTGACGGATACCAGCATGTGGAGTTATTTCAGTGGTGATGAGAGTGGGGTCAATGATGTAACCATGCAAACGTGCCTACTAGCTGAAGCCCAACTGGACTTCAAATAGGCAGTACATCTGGCTTTATCATTGGAAAGTGCGACAAGTGGAACATTTGAGTTGCAGGGTATTTCAACGGATGTGGACACCCTCACCTGTCTGACTGAGCCTGGGAAACATCACTTGAGTGAAGGGATAGCTACACTCAGGACATATCCTGAACAGAGGAACTCCAGGTCAGCACACAGAAAACCCCCAAAACAAATGCAAGCATCTGCCAAACGGTTAAAATTTTCAACAGGATCTGGGCCGGCAAGCTATTGTAGTTGCTGCCAGCATGTGGACTTGAGACAGCAAGACCTAAATTGAGTAAGAGAACTCAGAGGCCAGTATCCAGGAGGGTGCACAACCTGGAAAGTTCACCTACATCTGGCTTGGAACATCCAAACATCCAAATCAGAATGAATCAAAATAAACGTTTGGTTAAACGGTCACCTGGTTCTAATGGAGGTTGATACCAGCATGGTTGTTTCAGTCATCACAGAACCAGTCTTTTACAAAATTAACTCTGGACTCCAACCCTCAAGTTTGCACAAGACCTCAGCTAGACTGAGAATCTATCAAGGGTACAATTTTAGTTCCAGTCTCTTACAAGAAGCAGCTGGTTCAGTTACCACTGATTGTAGTAAATGGCTTGGGTCCAAGTTTGATGGGGTGGAATTGGATGAAAGTCACCTCGATTGGCTCAACATGTTTGATTTAAAAAATTGCTCCTACCGAGTACTCTGAAGCCTTCAGGACTCAATATCAAGTTCAATAATTGTAGGGCTTGAGTATCTAGTCCTATGTCCGTACCCCAGCCCCCACACACCAGACCTTGTCATGATATGGCTGCTACAACAAACAACCTATTTACCAGCCACTGATGCTCCAGATTAGCAGCTAGTTGATTCTCCCAGACTGACCTTTACCCATTCCTTTGTCTGCCCAACTATTTTTCTCTCCCTCTCTCGGCTCCTTACCACCCCATATTCAGCATACATACCACTTCCTAACCACAATCAGTTCTGAAGGTCACTGGACCTGAAATATTAACTCTGCTTTCTCTCCAGAAATACTAACAGGCCTGCTGAGATTTTCAAGTAATTTCTGTTTTTGTTTCTACTTGTTTTAGCTCCCTGTCCTTCAATATAGCACATGCTCTTGAATATTCAGGTCCCAGCCTTTGCCAGATATATACATGACTGTAATATGACAAAGTCTGATCAGGTAGGGATGTTACAAAGACTTTATGCTGAGGAATACTAATAAGCTAGTGCATTCTAAAAATTCCTCTTTAAATCCCTATATTACCAACTTCTAGGAAGATCAACCACTAGCCAGCTGGGGCATAATAACACACAAGTAAAACCACACCCGGAGGTTATCAAATTAATTACTGATATCACAAAGTTCTTTTAAATCCCTTGCTCTTCAGCGAATGTTATCCAAGACTGAAAAATGGTTAGAATACACGATAACTTATGGAAAAATATAAAACTCTAAATTTTAAATTTAGATAATTCAGTCAACATTAGAAATTTACTTGCTAGCTGTACAGAGGAATAGTTACTTTTTTTATTTTCTGCAGGTATCCTCATTACATACCTCCAATAGTTCTTTACAGTATTCCAGACCAATATCAGACAGGATCCTTTTCACCTTCTTTCTGGATTTTCTGATGGTTTCTAGCTTGGTAACAGGAAGTTGATACATTTTTACCTTGACTTAATAAATAAGGAAATAAAGGTTAGCACTAGGTTAAAACCAGATTCTTTGCACTTCTGAAATGTTTAGTCCCAAGCGTGACCTGGTCAACAGGGTGAAAGCACTTTTGCTAACCTCACCCATTAATTGCTTTGGCCTAAAATGAATTTGCACTCGGCTTAGGCATTTATCAATGCTGGTATGCAGCAACCATTTTCAAGTTAGCAATTTCACTCAATGCTGCAAATGGAAATTAAAAGTCATTGCACTGCTACAGTAAGAAAAACTTTTCAGGTTGGGCTTAATGCACATTATGTTAGTGACAAATACTCATTGTGCATTGTTCACTCACCAGCATTAACATCCTTCACACTGATGGACATAAATTATTGGACTCGAATCTAATAGTGGATTATTCCCAACACTACTTTTCGACAGACATGGAAAAGTCTCTCTCATATGCACGTTACATTCTCATCCCATGGATGGCTTCCTCACTCCCTTACTGGTTGCTTATAAAGTCAAAAGGAAGCAAGATCTTACATGGCAGGAAAAGATGGTATTTACTTCATATACTCTCCTTTTCATACACTTATTAGGAAAAGCTCTTGCAGTCTGTTATTATTTCCCTGGCTACTCATTTTCTTTTCTCATCAGTATTTTGTTCATCCTTTACTGCTTTCTAAAACACTAAATCTTCAGCTTCAATGGTATTTTTGGAATCATTATAAAACTAATCACCTCTTTATGAGATTCAACAGCATTACTAGCACCAAGCACCAAGACCCAACAAAATACTCTCCACTTGCATGAATGACTGCAGCTCCAACTTCATAAGAAAAAGAAGCCTGCATGATCAATATCATATTTACCATTTTAAACATTCACTTTCTCCACCACTATCACAAGATCATTGCAGCATTAGAATCTACAAGAGTCAATGCAGTATCCTACCAAGGCTTTGAAATCACTTTTCTAATCTGCAGTCACTAACCCCGAAGTAGAATGTCTGATAGGGCAAAACCACCATTACCAGTTACTCTCCAAGATATACACCATCCAGACTTACAGATTAATATAGAATGGTTAGAGCACAGGAGTATCCATCTTGGTTCTCTGCAAGAACATATCTAGTCCAATTCTACTAGCTTTTTTCTGCAGCCCTGCAAATTTAACTTCAGGCTTTTAAAAGGAAATTTGGTAAGTACCTGAAGTAAACTAGCCTTCACTACATGCAGAATCAAATGTAAAAGCACTGTATCAAAATCCTGGAACTTCCTAACAGTGGTGGCATGATGAAACTCTTACATCATTATTGTTGAGAGCCTGGGTTCTAAGGTGAACAGTTTCAAGTTGAAAAAGTGTAATTTTATTGTGTGTTAAGCAGGGCAAGACAGATTTTAGTTTCATTTTAGATTTCTTCTGTGTGACATTAGAGTGTTGGGAGATTTGGTTAATTTACATGCACTTTAATGAGATGTTTAAACCCTTGAGGTGAACAGCTCAATGTAATAGGAAATAGTGTTCTGGTTCAGTCAGAGAGAAATGATCCACAACTGCAGAAGTGTAGTTATTAAGTTTCCAAGTAGCCTTGACTAAAAATAAGTTCCGAAGCTCTAGAAGTTAGCAAGTTCCAGAAGCAGAAGGCTGTTGAGGTATCAGGGAGAAAGATTCCTGGCAAGGCTATTAAAAGACAGCAGTTTAAAGAATGCATGTAAACTCACAAGACAGCTGAGTCAACAGCTTTTTAAAAGGGTCTCAGGAAAAAAAACATTAACTAAATAGCATTGAGTGAATGCACAGAAGTTTGCTGAAAAGGAAACCAATTAAAATGATGCCAGCTGAACATGGAGAGTTAGCACATTGACAGTGATGAGTCTTCACGGAGACTTGGGAGCCTGTAAGTTTGTTGTGGAAATCTTTATTTCTGACAAATTGTATCAAAACTGTTTCAAATGGTCCTTCTTACTGTACCATAGTTCGTGTTTTTGTGTATAATAAAGTTTTGTGTTCCTTTGTTAAAAGCACACCGGTAGACTTTTACGAACATGTTCAGTGACTGGCCTTCACAGTAAACAAAAGTAAAAATTAAAAGAAAGCTTATCAAGCTGGATCTCACTGTGGGATTGACTTATCTAATATTACCATTAGCTGGAA